CTACTAGGGGCTCCTGGCCATACTACTAGGAGCAAGGACGCTACTAGTTTGTTTGTTGGAGTCTCTGATTCCAAATAGTAAGCTTCGCCGACTCTTTGTAAGGAACATGGATGAGCGTAAGTGAATCCAGCAAAGGATAGGCATGGACTCCATGGATTAAACCTTGGAATTGCCATTTGGGGTTTGGAACAGCAACTCCTAAAGCTGAATTTTTTGTATTCTCGTGCCCATATCACTCTCTTTGTTGAGTGAACATCCTTTTTGAATATTGAATGTACACTGCTTACTGGTTTTGAAAAACCTTGAGACTCTAGGTTACTCCGTTTTTATCAACATTATTGTTTCTTCCAAGGGGGTAAAAGGCAAACATAGAATTTTGTGCATGGACATCCACATGTCATTTCTTGAGTTCCTTTTGTACCCTCTAACAAAAGAAAAAAGAAACATCCTTGTCACTTTCTTTTGTTTCGTGGGATGGTGACAAATCAAGCCACAACATTAGTACCAGGACGCATCCAACAACTAGACACACCAGAAGGCAAACCAACGTTCTTCTGGACGTGCTACATATGATCAAATCTGCTCGCAATCCTAATCTCATTTCAGCTTCCCAAAAGATCCGATATGCATCTTCCACTTCGTTCAGGTCGACGTCTGACTCGTAGATCTTGAATCCTAAGGGAGCATTTACAGCATTCTTCGCGTATGCGCATGAATGCATACAAGGGCAAGAATAGGCAGTCTAGCGACCCAAGATAGCTCACCAAAACAGGCGGTAGAGGCGGAATGACATACCACAGATTCTCAGCTGATTCTGTGCTCAAGCGCTATCTGGATGCAGCCAGTGCACTCAGTCTTGCAGGCACTGGCTTCTCGGTACTCTTCTTGTTGCACATCTTGAAGAATGCACAGTCTCGATCGCTAACACCAAACCAATGCAGTTGAAGCACCTGAGAATGCGGAAAAAAAGTGAAGCAGAAATAAATGCAGCCAGCCGCAACAAGCCGACTCTAAACTGTGATCTTGTCAGCGCACTAACGAGGTGAAAGAGCAATTCTTCGTCGCCTCCGAAAGAGCGGAGACCGGCTCCACGAGGACAGGGTGGTAGCCATAAAGGACCACATTTGGCTTCCTCTCCTCGAGCCCAACGTTCCGACCACAATGTCTGGGGTCTACTGGCGTCTCAAATGTTGAGGACTGAGTGTCTGGCCAGCCAACATCATGGATCCTTGTCTAGCTAACTAATTAAAGCACTTCAAAAGTCCCGAATAAGGAGCCATCTTGTCTTTGGACCTGCTCATGTTGCAAGGGTTCGAGTTTGACCAAAAAGCAGCAAACAAATGCGGACCTCTGTGGATGTGTTGGACTGATCCCACCCCTCAGGTCCCCCAAGAGCGCCAGCGGGTGAATCGTAGTTTTCTGTTCTCAGCGAATCCTGGGTATTACGGTATTGCAATGAGCTGGATGGGGAATTGCGGCATATCCCATCCTACGAGTAACACCGAGCCAAACTGAGCCAGCGATGAAGTTTTGCTGACGCCTTTGTGGGAGGAAACACTTTTAGGACTACTAGTCTACTAGTGACTACTACTAACTTTGGTAGACTCCTGGTGGTCCAAAGTCACAGTGCCATGAGCTGAGCCATGAATGTGGTGTGGGACATGGACAACCCCATTGAGCTCCTGTGAACAAAAACATATCGAGACAATCTAAATGTTAAGCTAGAATCTTCTTCTGATTCTTCTACAATTTTGACCAATCTCAGCACGTTTGGGTTTCGCCCCACCTCTCTGAAGTTCACCCTTTCTGCCCGGTCACCTTGAGCTTTTGAGCAGGGTTGACCTGAACGCAGTTGGACCAAAACGGGTCGACCAAAATGCTGAACGGGTCAACGGCGTTCCATCCTGAGCTGGTCGAAACGCTCTCTGGGCGTCAACCGTCGCAATGGCGGAAGTGCGCGACGTGAGTGATCAGCTGCTTGGCGGTGCTTTGGATCGGTCGAAAAGCAAATGCCACGACTTCGTTTTGAGATGCAACAAATCCCAAAAAAGCAAACTGTGTTTCCATCAGAATCAGTGTCTGCCTGAGTCCAATATCGCAAGGAGGGTATCTCAAACATCTCAATCCAAGACACAATTTGACTTTCTTGATGGAGAAACTATGGCTTAGCACGGGTCCCCAAACTTTTGACCCAAACTTGGATTTCAAGCTTACTTAGCTTGTGCAGTTGTGCCCGACTTGGTCAGGTTCCTTCCGACATGTCCAACCCTCACCGGGAGCTTCTAAAAATTAATAGTGCAACGTTACGTTTCATCAAACTCGGACCAACGAAGATTGGACACAAAAAAAGAACATAGATGCGAACTTGCTTGATATTTAGTCAAACATTCTCTGGGGTTGCTATTAGGTGGACGCCGTTGTTATTACATTGGAGGCCGTCGCTACTAGGTTGGAGGCCATCCCTAATTATGAGGTTGGAGGCCATGAATATTAGGTTGGAGGCCATCGCTCTTAGGTTGGAGGCTGTCGCTATTTGGTTGGAGGCCATC